CCCCCCACAGACAAAGAACAAGATATTATAGAAAAGAGAGAGACACTGCAGGATGTCCGGGGAGGCAGGAGACTATTGGAGGGTCTACATCAGAGGGAGCTGGGCCATGGAGGTGCCAGCTGAGTGTTGCAGCCCCATGTGGTGCTGAGGCTGGGTTCCCGTCTGCTGGATTCGGTGCTGCCTCCCTGGGCACAGTCTGGCTGCCAGGCTGGGCAACAGGAGGGAAGCCCCACCCTGTCCAAACACAACTGCAAAGGTTTCCACTCACCGGATTCCAGTCGCGTTCCAGTCCAGCGGCCCCGCCATTTTTCCCGGTCACCTCTGTTCCGAGACCTGGGTGTTCGTGACCTTTCGGGTTACATATTGACAGCCTGTTGGTTTAGGCTCACACATGACTACTCCGGGAGAGGCCTGACGAGTCGAACTCTCGCGGCAACTTCCTCCTTCCCGCCGGTTCCTGCGGATCCGTCGCCCGCCCTGTCTGTGAGCTGCCTTAAGTACGGCGCCTACTTGGGGTGTTGGGATTATTTGTTTGGCCTCTGCTAATGTGCTGTGCTCTTTACATATGTTATCTTGCTTAATATCCCCTAGGACCCTTCAGGGAAGGTATAATTACCCCCATTTCACAGATGAGGAGACTCAGGCTCAGAGAGATGCAGCACATTGCCCAAGGCCACCAAGCTGGTAATTAGCAAGAGCGGGAATAGTAATTGGGGTGGGTTAGTCTGATCCGTGGGTCCCTCTGCCTCTCATGAAAGCCACACGCAGTCGTTCAGCTACGTGCCTGCCAGCCGGCCCTCAGCCCTGCTTCCTAGTCATTCATTTCTTCGAGACGCCTTTGGCCAGTGAATCGTGAAATCTGAAAATTCCACCCCTAGGCGGCTTCATACAAGGAGACACTTGATGTGGGAAATTTCATCGGGAACCAGTGGACTTTTCAGGGTCAGAGTCACAGCCTCGTCTCGTAGTTTGTCAGGTCACCCAAGTTCTATTCTCGATCAAATGTCAATGGGCTGTGGGACTCCTTTGAGCCTCCGGTATTGACGGAAGAACCCAGAGAGCTTTCCCTGGGGAGAGCCGGGCGCTCTCTCTTCTCGCTCTTTTCCTGGGCTGAGTGCGTGCGGGGGCCCAGGAACGAAGCCAGGCTTCCTTATTGCTTTCTCTTGGCCAGTGAAGTACAGGAGAGAGCTGTCCCGGGTGGAACACACTTCCCTCCAAAAGCATGATTATGTAGCTTTATTACGTTACCAAGGGGAGGTCCGCGCACTTGGCCCTGTGCCTGGCCTAGCGTGGTCACTCACTAAATATTTGTTGAATCAAATCAGATTAGAAAAATTGAATGAATGCTGGACTGAGAGGGATACTTCTCTCTGGTAAACAACATGTGCGTGTCTTCTGATACCCTTAGGGTTTCGGGGCATCTGGAAACTGAAATAGAAAATAGAAAGCTACTACCGAGTGGGCCAGATATCAGAGTAAACTGAGGGGAGGAGCAGATAAGACACCAACTTCAAATCCTACCCATTAGCTTTGGGATTTTAGGCAAATTCCTTTCATCTCTCTCAGGCTCAGCCTACTCTGCAATGTTGTGGCTTGTTTTGCTTTTTAAAAAGTGAAAACACATGTATTGGTTTCCAAGGGCCGCCATAACAAACTTTCACAAATTGGGTGGCTTAGAGCAATGGAAATTTATTCTCTCAAGGTTCTGGAGGTTCAAAGTGTGACATGCAGGTGTTGGCAGAGTTGGCTCTTCCGGGGGCTCTAAGGAGCACGTGGCCTGTGCCTCTCTCCCGAATTCTCGTGGTCACCGGCAGCCCTGGTAGCTACATCACTCCAGTCTCTGTCTTCATCTCCATAGGGCATTCTTCCCTGTGTGTCTCTGTCCAAATTTCCTTTTCTTATAGGACACCGGTCACATAGGATTTAGGGTTGCCCTAACCCAACATGACTTCATTTTAACTAATTACATCTACAAAGACCCTATTTCCAATTAAGGTCACAATCTGAAGTTCTGGGTGGACATGAATTTGTGGGGGACACTATTCAACCAAGTATAACACATTATAAACGATAAAGCCCTTCTTGTTCCTGATGTTTCTGTACATGGGCCTAAAAATAATCAGCCTTGAGGACACTGTGCTGAGTGAAATAAGCCAGTCACAAAGACACAAATGCTGTACAATTCTGCCTATATGGGGTACCTAGAAGTAGTCAAATTCCTAAGATAAAAAGTAGAATAGAATGGTGGTTGCCAGGGGCTGAAGGGAGGGGAAATGAGTTGTTGTGTAAGGGGTACAGAGTTTCAGTCCTGCAAAATAAAAAAAGCTCTGGAGATTGCTTATACAACAATGTGAGTATATAAGACACCACTGAACTGTACCCATAAAAATGGTTAAGGCAGTAAATTTTGTTACGTATATTTTGCCACAATTAAAACAATTTTTTAAAAATATGTATCTTTATTGATTTCAGAGAGAGGAAGGGAGAAGAGAGAGATAGAAACATCAGTGATGAGAGTCATTGATCGGCTGCCTCCTGCACGCCCCTGACTGGGGATCGAGCCCGCAACCCGGGCATGTGCCCTGACCGGGAATCAAACCCCGATCGCCTGGATCCTGGGTTGACGCTCAATGGCTGAGCCACGCCCGGCTGGGCTAAAAAATTTTGATCATCCCTGGCCTCGCTTGGAAACGTAATTGATAACACTGATTTGTTTCGTGTTGGGGAAACTGCATCCTGAGTTCCACAGGCCTTTTGCGACGAGAGGGTTTGTGAGTGAGTCTGTCTGTGCTTCAGCGCCCGATTCTGTTCTGCTTCTTCTCGATTCCATCAGCTACAACCTGGGCAGCGGTGCGGTGTCCATCATGGTGAACGGCTCCTTCAGCGACGGTCGGTGGCACCGGGTCAAGGCTGTTCGGTGAGTACCTCCCACAGCGTGCGGCAGAGCTGGAGCCCAGAGGTGGCACGTGTTCCCCAAGTCCCTTCAGTCCCACTCTCCTCCCCCCCAGCCTTGCCTGGCCTCCCATACTCCTGACTCAGGTCATTCGGGGCACTTTGCTACCAACTCCCACTGTGCCCTCCAGGTCACTCAACAGCGACTTTCTGGAGAAATAACTTTCCGATGGCTCACAGGAACAGGGCCTTGCTGTTTAGTGAGGCCTGGACATCTCTAGTGAGATGGGATTTCAGGGCATGTGGACTTTGAGCAAATGCTTCAAAGCTCATAATGTAGGCAACTGCCTGCTTTTTCTTTGACATCACTTTACCTGAACCTTAAAAGCTTGTGTATCCTGCCCCTCTCACAGAAGTCACGACCCTGGCTTCTGATTAACTTGGGGTGAATCACTCCCTTAAAATTACGGTCTTGCTACCTATGTCCAAATTCCTAACAATATATTTTGAGAAACCAGATAGTAGGCCCAAACTTAGCTGTGTGCAGAAATCTCAATCCTGCCATGTTAGATGAAGGTTCCAGGAGATGAGCTGAACAGAGTTTTTGATTTGGGTCCCCCGAGAATTTACTACAACCCTTTCTGGGGAGGTTAGTGGGTAAGGTCAAAAGTGACACTTAGGAAGCATGGGGCTACCAATGTCAGCTTCCTACTCCGTACACATATAGCCATGGTGGGCGCAGCCTTGCTGGATCCCCCTCTCTTGTCCACTGTGCCTGCCTTTGACACCCTAGAGGATGTGTGAGGACACAGAGGCAGATCTGTGCCCATCAGCTGCCCAAGTAGCCTAGGAAGCCCTGGCAACAGTGATTTTGATGAAGCCCCCACTCTGACTTGTTGAAAAAGGAAATGTCTTCCCATAGTGAATATTTACAGGCTTGATCTAAAATATACTCTAGAATATAAATTTAAGTGCTCATAGTCCAAACCAACTCCAAGACAGGTTACACTATGTGGCTTCTAAGTTCTTCATTTCTCTCTCACACTCGTCTTTAAAAGGGCTTGCTCAGAAANGCTCAGACACATCCGAAGAAATGAAATACTTGACCACACTTGATCCCTGTAGCTCCCATCCTGTGAGCACCCCACTCTCAATTTCCTCAAACAGAGAAGGTTGTTAGGACACTCAGATATTGTGGAAGGATTTTTAAGCCCTCAAAATTGTTGTGGTTTGATTATGTGCATCAAGATACACATCGGTGGNTAAACAGAGAAGGTTGTTAGGACACTCAGATATTGTGGAAGGATTTTTAAGCCCTCAAAATTGTGGTTTGATTATGTGCATCAAGATACACATTGGTGAGGATTCCAAGCACTTCCTAGACATCTAAGGAAACAGATGTTAAGTGACCTTCCCCAGACTTTACAACCGTTTGTGGGCAGAGCCAAGACTGGATTCTGAGATCAAAGTTCTTACCTTCCCACTCCATGGTGCAGCCCACTCCAGGTAGCATTCCAGATGTCTCGGAGGGAGAAGACAGGGAATGTTCCACCAGAAGAAACTCAGATGTCAGAGCCTCAAGCTTGGCACCGTGAAGATGGTTTGCAGGCTTGGTTCTCACTACTGTAATCACTGACATCTCCCCTAGCGGGCCTTAGGCTGCAGTGAGGGTTGAACAGAGAGAAGTGAGACCAGGAACTGTACAGATGGGAGGATTCAAGCAGATATTGTGATCCAGAGGGGCAGATAGGCCTGGAAGGGAAGGTTCAACAGATCTAAGCAGGAACTGGGTCAAGGCTACGGATATCAAGTATGGCAAGCAGGGTTGAATGGATACCTTAGTTCTTTGCAGCAGCTCCAGGGTCAGAGATGGGGGGTCAATGCAGCCATCTGCAAGGGGAGCCTTGCTTTGTACCCTGTCTTGCTCTGAGTAGTCCTGGTCTTGCAGGCGTTAATCCTGGCAGAAAAGAGAAAGCAAGTTCTCACTTATTAAGCATCTTCAGGATGCCAGGTGCTTTACGTACTATATCTTAGTTAATATCCATAGCAACGTAAGCTTTATAGCCTTCATGCTGTGGGTGAGAATGATGATGTATTGATAATGGTAACCCCCCCCCCCCTTACAGAGCAGGCATGTATCGGGTGCATGTTCTGTGCTTTGGATGCACAATCGCTGACCTCAGAGTAGCCTGGAGATGGGCACAGTTATTCCCCTTCCAGATGAGTCATCGAAGGTCCACAGTTCGCCTGTTCATTCTTCTCCCTCTGTGAGCCCTAGACACATGGGATACATCATCGNTCCATAGCAACGTAAGCTTTATAGCCTTCATGCTGTGGGTGAGAATGATGTATTGATAATGGTAACAACACCCCCCCACACACACTCTTTGCAGAGCAGGCATGTATTGGGTGCATGCTCTGTGCTTTGGATGCACAATCGCTGACCTCAGAGTAGCCTGGAGACGGGCACAGTTATTCCCCTTCCAGATGAGTTGTCGAAGGTACACAGTTCGCCTGTTCATTCTTCTGCCTCTGTGAGCCCTAGACTGTTCCAAACACGTGGGATACATCATCANTCAGAGATGGGGGGTCAATGCAGCCATCTGCAAGGGGAGCCTTGCTTTGTACCCTGTCTTGCTCTGAGTAGTCCTGGTCTTGCAGGCGTTAATCCTGGCAGAAAAGAGAAAGCAAGTTCTCACTTATTAAGCATCTTCAGGATGCCAGGTGCTTTACGTACTATATCTTAGTTAATATCCATAGCAACGTAAGCTTTATAGCCTTCATGCTGTGGGTGAGAATGATGATGTATTGATAATGGTAACCCCCCCCCCCCTTACAGAGCAGGCATGTATCGGGTGCATGTTCTGTGCTTTGGATGCACAATCGCTGACCTCAGAGTAGCCTGGAGATGGGCACAGTTATTCCCCTTCCAGATGAGTCATCGAAGGTCCACAGTTCGCCTGTTCATTCTTCTCCCTCTGTGAGCCCTAGACACATGGGATACATCATCGAACAACACAAGCATCCTTGCTTGATGGGCTTGCATGCTAACGGGAGGCAACAGACAATCAATATAAACATATGAAGACGTTCATTACTCAAAGGTTAAAAGGTGATACCACGCTTATTTCCAAACTGAAGATGCCATTGATTGTAAGACATATTCTCATTTTAGAGATAGAGAAAATCTCTTAAAATTGATGAAGTAAAGTGGAAAAATGGAATTTTTTAGAGTAATGGAGGAAAATGGCAGGCCGGGCAAGGCAAGGCGTTGGGCGCATTGGTGATCCCAGCATTCAGGTATGAGATTCTAAACCAGCATCTCCACAATGGGGAGGCAGCATGTGGTCTTGAGGGTGGAGACAGAACAGGAGAAACACCTCCAAAGCCAGCTGCTAAAAGGGTTGCTCTCAAGAAGTGAGGCCTGGGCAACCAGATACATACCATTGTACCCCCCTCCCAAACGGGTAGAGCCAGGAAGGTGAATGAGGGGCTAAAAGCAGGAAGATTGGCTTAAAAACTTTACTTGAATTAACTTGAGGAGTTAGAGCCCAAGCTCTACTTCATGTAGCTGGCGCACAGCCCTTTTCCTACCTGTGGAAAAATAAGTCGATTCTCTGGACAAAGTAAACTAAAAGTCTCTGGAATGGGGGACACTAGGTCTAACTAAATACTGGGCTACTGTATATTGTACAAATTAAGATGAGACTTTGCGACAGGTTGCATGTTGAATATTAAGCACTCCATAATTCTTTCTCCATAACTGGGATTCCAGAATGCTGGCAGCCAGACACAGTAGGGGAGTAGAAAATCCAGGTGTCCCCCAGGACATGATTGAGCCAGACGAAGCCACAGTCAGCAAGACCCATCCTGCAACCAGAGCTTCCAGGCTGCTTTTTCAGAGCTCAGCACTTAACTATGAAGGGGCAGAGACCACAAAGCCCTGGAAAAACGTTTCCAGTATAAAAGATGGGTATCAGAACGAACAGACATAATAAAGCATCTTGTAGGAAACAGAGACTATGAATGAAAAAAATGATAGAAATATTAATATCATCAGAAAGATAAGAGAGGTTATTAACCCAAGAAACAAGCACTGTTTGCTATAGAAAAGGAACGTTAAAAGACCAATAAATCTTAAGGGGGAAAAAAAAGAAATGCAGCCTGAGCCAGTATCGCCCCCTCCCCAAGAGCTAGGGAAGCAGACGTACTTTTCTGAAGAAGGTTCCTGGGGCTGGATGGTTTGGGAAACCTGCAAAGCCATCGCACAGATGCATATCTCCATTCCACTGTCCTCCGAGTCACTTCTGGGGGACTCCCTGGGTCCTTTAGGAACTTCTGAGCTATTCTTTTTCCTTCCCTAGAGTAGTCTTCCACCTACCAAAACCGCCTCACTGGGTTGCCATTAGGCTCAGAATAGCATCCGGACTCACCGCGCGTCACCAGAACTGCTCCCCTTGAAGTTCTCTGGTCCCCTCACCTGCAGGATAAATTCTAACTGGGCTCTGCGTGCCCTTCACCACCAGCTCTGGCTTCATCTTTCTCCTCTGGGCCGCCACCCCCGACCTCGCTGTGCTCAGTCTGCACCAGCCCGTCCCCTCTCTTGTCATGGCGACTTCCGTCCGCATCAGCTTCCTCCCTCGCTTGACCTACGCAGCCTCCAAAACTCCTCTTGGGGGAATCTCCTGGGGAAGCGTCCTCCTGTCGTTCCGCAGGGTCCTGGCAGTCTTCCGCCTCAGCGTGGTGACACTGGGCTGTCACTGGTAATGCGGTTGTTTTGTCTTCCACAGCAGGCCTGAAAGCCCTGGGCGCCGGGAACGTGTTCGTTGCTGTCGTTTTCCTTTCTGCAGCTCTATCCCTTAGCGTAGTGCCTGGTGCACAGCAGACACTTTAACGCATTTTTATTGAAATGAGTGGGACGATTGAATGAAACTCCTAACGTGGTGGTTTTCACAGGGACGGTCAGTCGGGAAAGATGACTGTGGACGACTACGGGGCCAGGACGGGCAAGTCGCCCGGCATGATGAGGCAGCTCAACATCAATGGGGCGCTGTACGTGGGTAAGTGACCTGGGCCAAACCTAAATGACGCCGGTGCCTCTTCTCGTTACTCCTCCATCGGCCTTGCTGGGCTCCTCAAAATCTCGCGCTTCCCCGAATCAGCCAAATACTTGGCAACGGGATGCTCTCCAGATAGTCTGTTCTCCTGGTTTCTGAACTTCTGACTCACGGCCGAGGCAGGAAGCCCTTAGATGCCTTTGTGCTTTGGATGATCCACCAGGAAAACCAGGCTTTTCTTGTTTATCGAGCAGGAATCTGCTAAATTTAGCTCCTCGATTTCCCTCCAAGGAAGGAGGATCTGTTTTTCTGGCCCCTTTCAGAATTAGAATGAATGGGATTTCCGTAAATAGCTTAGAGCCTGCTTGCGTGCACACGTAAGCGTGAAGGGATGCCTCCGTCCGTATATTTTCTAAGCGTGAACTTAGTAGAAAGCACTCAATGTCAGTGTATTTCTTTCGGTTTAAGATGACATCCCCTCTAACTACATACTACACTTTATTGATATTATACAACATTTCAAAATGTACCAGGTACTGTTTGGTTGGAAGTGGCCAGCTGGGTCAGAAATCACACGTGAGGTGGGTATTTATAGCCTCCGGTTGTGTATCCCACTGAATCAAGCCACCTGTTCCTTCAAGGAAACTATAAAGTAGATGCGATGCACTGGGCAGTTCGAGGGACCCACAGTCCTCCCTTATCCTGTCCGTCCAGGGAGCCTTGATCAGTAGATACTCACGTGCCCTAAGGAGACGCCGATCCCTTTGGCTCACCCCATCTCCCTCTGGCTTCCTGGCAGGTGGAATGAAGGAAATTGCTCTGCACACTAACAGGCAGTACATGCGAGGCCTCGTGGGCTGCATCTCTCATTTCACCCTGTCCACCGATTACCACATTTCCCTCGTGGAAGACGCCGTGGATGGGAAAAACATCAACACTTGTGGAGCCAAGTAACACCAGCCGGCCTTCCCAGAGGGACGGCGCCTTCTATCCCGAGAATCCTGGGGGCCCCGAGTCCCTGCCTGAGGCCCTGTGCCATACACAGAGGCATAGGGACCAGGTGTGTTTGCCCTCATCGAGGAAAAAGGACACCCTAGTGAGAAACTGGAACCAAGCTGGGTCCCTGTGTGGCCTTTTCTGCTCACACGCTGTGGGCCACACCCAACAGAATCTTCTACGTGGGAAGCATCGAACTTTGTCCGTGGACTATACAATGGCTACCAGGGCTCACGCGTGAAGGCAAATTCCAGAGCCCGTCTGCTGTAGTCAATGACCGGGTTGTGATTCATAGAGCATTAAACAAAGAAGGAAAAGAGAGACCCAAAGGGCAGCATTAAAATACCCCTCTCTTTCCCTGACTCACGGCACTTACAGCAGAATGACTGTGTGACCTTGAACCTGGGATTTCTCACCGTGGCCCCTGAAGTACTAGGATTAACCCCTTCCACCCCTCGCTGGCTGGTTCAATGTGCCCTGACTCTTCCATGAAAGTAAGGGTGAGGGGGGACTAAACGTAGAACCGTAATCACAGTGCTGCCCCCGCTAAAGTTTACCTTTAGTGAGAAATCCCTACTTTTTATAATGCTCATCTAAGAAAATGGGCACCCTGATTTTGTAGCTGTCCTTTTGTATGTGTATATTTTTATAGCTGCAGATTGTCCACACAGTATAATTTTGCAAGTTTGGGTGGACGACCCTGAATTCTTTGCACAGTTCCTAAAAATTTTCTCCCAAAGGAGACTGTTGGGGCCCTTAGTGGCATCAGTGGAGTAGGATAGGTAACCTGGGGTGGGCAGTCTCCTGGGGAACTGACCATTCTCTTTCAGTAAATGTTGACGGCTCAAGGAAATGAATCTGAAGCTTCCAAAATAAGCAGATTAACAGGTACATGTGTTACTGAGGGGGTCACTGTCATTTTTGTTTTAAGAGGGGGGGATGGCTATAATAAACTTGAATAAAGGAGATGAAGAAGGCTAGAGCTCCTTTACTTAGTCATTCATTTTCATTCATGGAAGTGTCACTGAGCCCTGCAGAGGCCACGTCCAGAAATGGGCGCTAAGACAATCAGAGCCTCCAAGGCTGTGCTGCGGGGTGAGAAGCAGGGCTGCCTCCTTCTGAGCCACTGGCCGTCTCTTTGCTATTCATGCACGTGACACTGGTGACAGCTGGCTCGCTGGCAGATCCCCATGACAGGACTCGCTAAGGGAAAGGTGAGATGCACGCTGCCCCCAAAGAGCAGGGAAATATGATCCAACGCACGCAAGAGCCTATATTTAGTCCCAGCCATGACTTCAACTCTTGTTTGTGTAGCATTCATTCAGCGAAGACGACTTTGAGCTTTGTGCAAAGCACAGCTTCAGGCACATTTAGAATTCTATAAAATGAATAAATTAACCTAGAGACATTCACCTGTGCCTCAGCCTCTGCCTCCTGTCTTTGGGACCCTTTGATGACCAAGACCCTCCTCCCAGAGAGACAACAACAACAACAACAACAACAACAATTCATACTCTCCTACATCTGTCTCCTTGTGTGTGCAGTTTGGAGGAAAGACCACACGGTAAAAAGTGGGGTTTAGCACCTCCCGAACACCCTCACCTCAATATCTTTTCCTTGGAGGCTGCTAGGGCCAGTGCTTCCCAAAATATAAGAGTTGCTTTCATAGCACGTTTTGAATCAATTGCCTTCAGCCAAAAATGTCTTCGTGATTTTAGAAAAATGTCCAACTGAGCTGAAGCCAGAAGAGCTGTGTTGTCCATGAGCCATTGTTGCATGCAAGTGTTATCCCGGAAAGAACGCAATGGGCCAGGGATGCGCTTGGGGGTGTTGAAGTGGGTGAGGATTCTGAGCCACCAACTTGGGTGGGATGCAGAAGGGGCTAAAGGGGGAAGGTGGCAGGCACCGGGATGGGCTCAGCGCAGTCGAGACCCTGCTGGATGAGAGGGCTGCCCAAGAGGAGCTGATCACACGGGAGGCTCAGGGTAGGACAGCAAGGTAAGAGACAGTAGATCCCAAGCCAGGAGGAAGGTTCTGTGATCTTCAGTGAACAGGACCCAGGGGATGAGGGCTGAGTGTAGCAGAGGTGGTTGTGAGGGTAAAAACTGTGTCCTGAAGCTGAGGGATTAGGCCCGGGCTCAGAGGCAGGCGAGCCGAGCTGAGCCTGAGTGTGTAGGTCCCCCGTTTTCTCTCTAAGTGTATCTGCTATCTGTGCCTACAATAATGCCCCACGACAGACAGCCGCAAACCCCAGTGGCATACCAGAATAAGTGTGTGTCACTTACATGCCTTGAGTGGCCACCTTGGCAGCCCTGCGGATCTTGGCTGGCTCGACCAGGCGCTTCTCCTGATCTCAGCCGGGCTTGGTCACGTGTGTAGCAGCTGGCTAATACAGGACGGCCTTGCCTGAGACGGTGAGGTGACGAGTCAGCTCCATGGGGCTCTCGTGCTCCGCCTGGGACCTGTGGGACCCGACATACCCTTTGCGTGATGACGGAGGAGGGTAAGAGCCCTAAGCGTGAAGCTTCAGGCCTTGCACAGCTGAGGTTTGGAACTGTCACATCCTATTAGCCCAAGTTCGTAGGTTCAAGAGATGAAAATACAGACTCCACCCATCACCACTGGGCAAAGGGCATGGATACAAGGAGGGTGAAAAGTCAGGGCTGTTCATGCCAGGAACGCAAGTCATGTGCGTTGGGACAAGTGGCGGGTAGTCCTCCTGCGGGACCCTTGCAAGGGGAAGGGGTCTGTGAAGTTCTCCGTGACGGGCCAGGCCGGGCCAGTGGGGCAGCACTTGCCCCTCCGCCACCTCCTCTGCTTCCTCTCTGCGGTCCCTCGTTCTCACACCTGTCCTCTGCCACCTGGCAGTGTCATTCTGAGGAGGGCGGCAGCAGAGGGGTGGCATCGGTGCCTGGCTTAGGGCAGCGGCTCCGAGGGGACGGTGTTGGAGACGCTGGCCGGGCTCCTGCCCCGAGACAGGTCTGAGGAGCAGCCAAGGAGCACCGAGCGTCACACAGTCCCGCCTGCCCAGGAAGGACACGGTGAAGCCTGGGTTCCTGAAAGCCTCTGGTCCCACCGTCAGGATCTGAGAAAATTCCCCCCGACTTCCCATGTGCTCTAAGCAAGAAAGGCCGGAGGGTGGGGTGAGGGACCGTTCTTGCTTTTCCTAGTAAAACTGACTTGCTCACAGCCCACGTTTCCTCTAAGCCCCGACCGGGGGTTTCCCTCGGGAAGGTCTGTGGGCCTTGCTTGTCCCCACGCTGCCCCAGAAGCCGAGGGGCGGCCGCCTGGTAACCTGCCCGGCCTCCCGCCCCGTCGGTGCCTCTCCTTTCCGGAGCTGGTCCTGCTCCAGCGGCTCCAACACAAACAGGCCCGCTCTCCCTGCAGCAGGCGGCTGCGGCCTTGCCTCCTGCCCCCCCGCGCTCCCACCACCGCCCCCGCCCTGCGTGGGAGGAAGGAGCTCGGACCCGTGCCCGGAGCTGGCAGCCAGCGCTTTCCACTTGGAGGAAACGCTGCATTTTTCACCTTTAACCTAGAAAAATATGGTTCTCAGAAAGCTTGTTTTCAGCACTGCGCGTCCCCAAGGAAGACGAATGGGGAGTAGGAGGGGCCAGGCCCGCCCGCGAGGCTGCTGCTCCCTGGGAGGGAAGCCCCGGGACAGCCCAGGCCCTTAGCAGAGCAGGGCACCGGGAGCTCACCGAAGGCCGAGGGGAGTCCCCCGGGACCACCGCCCGAAGGGGCCCGGAGGGCAAGGGCCGCCAGCAGGAGTCAAAATCAGAACCCGAAGTGAGGGACTTGCTGCCGCGGGCCACCCCGCAGGTGCCTCCCAGGACGGAGACGGGCCACCCCACTGCAGCTCCACCGCCCACGCGTGGGGCACGCACTAAACACGGGAGGGAGATGCAAGCAGCCCCGCCCCGGGCTGCTGAGCCCCTGGAGCACAGGGTCGGCCCTGCGCAAGCTGCTGGTCTTCCTGGCGGGTGGTTAGGAAGCTCAGCCCGCAGGTGGCTGCATTTAGGCAGCAAAACGACTAATCCAGCTCAACACGTGCACCCGCTCCTGGGGTCGGTCCCGTGAGGAACCGCACCGCAGCCTCAGGTTCAAAGAATGTTCTTCCTAGCAGCCCCCCTAGACGGGGTCAGCACACACGGCAGGGCCTGCTCGACTCGGGGAGACAGAGCCGCTCAGGAGGTTGGGGTGGGCGACTTGCCGTGGTCCCACCGCGAGGACACGACTGTGACGCTTCACCGGGGCTCCTGTACCTGTTCCCTGACCTTCAGATGCCCCCTGCCCAAGGACCAGGGCTGCTCAGTGTGCTCTGGGGCCCCCTCGGGCCAGCTGTCCTGGCAGTGCAGTCCTGTGGGTGAGGGGGCTGGGCACAGGCCAGTTTCTCGTCACAGCGCCAACTCTGCCTTCTTGCGGAGCTCTCCTCCTGCAAGGCCCGTGGGTTGAACAAACCTGAAAGCAGGGACCAGGGCCGCTCCACCAGAGTGGGGTTCCGGGTGCCCCCAACAGGGGAGGAGGTGCTGGTGTGAAGCCTTTCCCTCCTCTCCTTTCCCTTCTCCACCGACAGCCTCCAGGGCTCAGGGGGGCTGCGGAAAGCTACCTGCGAGCAGCGGCGTGCTCCCCGGCCGGTCGTGGCCCAGCCCGGAACCGGGGAGCAGGGCAGGCTGTGGAGCGCGCCCCTCCTCCCGTCCTGCCCAGGCCTCCGTCCTAGAAAGTGCGTGGCTCCCGGGAGCGCCTGCCTTTTCCTGGAAAGAGGGAGGGGAACACTGCGTCTCAGCATCTGGGATGCGGCTGCCGTTCTGCCTGCCTTCGTCTCCCTGACTTGCTCAAGTTCCAAACGGTTGACAAAGGCACGGACATCCCCGAGCATGTGGCGCGGCCTCCCCTAAGGCCCCAGCC